ACCGGAAAAAAAAAAAAAAAAAAAAAAGAAAAGAAAGAAGAGGTCACTCACACTCATCTATCCCCAACGAGATTTCCACTATTTGCTCAAGGCCAGTCTGAAAACCACCTACCTGAAGAAACCACTTATGAGCAACTCCACTTCTTTGTGGGTCCTTAGGTACTTTTCATTAGTAATCCGAGTCTGGATCTGGAGGGCAAGAGCAAAAGGTCATGCTTCATGAGGAGAAAGATTTCAGGGTTCAAGCCCTGGAGGTGTGGGGGGCTTGGGGAAACAACGTGCGCACTTAACCCGGGTCTCTTCCCAGGACGTTTGAACATTTAAGCCATCTGTCTTCTTACAGATCAACATCTTCAATGCTGCCTCCGGCTCAGGCTTAGGGGCCTTAACTAAGGTCGGGTCTCTACCGTTGGGAAGTTCTTGTTTGTATCTAAGTTAAAGTATCTGGCAGTCATTTCGGTCCATTTCTCTGGCATCCCTGTTTAAGTTTTTTTCTGGACTTTCAGGAGCCTGTCGGGCTCTGTTCAGGGCTCCAGAAGCCTAGGGGTCAGCCGGGTGTGTCCGCACCCACCCAGCCTTCCGCCCATTTATCTGGGAACAGACTCCACGTCCCTTTTCTCTGGGGCCCTTCCCCAGGGGGAGCTGCACTCTAATGGAGGCGGGGGTCGGGTGCCGCACCCACCTTGAAGCCGCGCAGCTTCTCCAGCTGTTCGGGGCTCAGCGCCTCGGGGTACAGCCCTTGAATCCCGCCCGGCAGGCTCGCCATCTTGTCGCGGTCGTCAAGGCGACGGGAGGCGCGGCTGGTGAGGACCCGCCCCCGGCCTGGCCCCGCCCTCTCCAGAAGGGGCGGGGCTGAGGGAAGCAATAAGGGGGCCACTCTGAAGCCGAGGAGTAAGCTCAGGAGGGTGTCTAATAGATCCCCTTCCCCAGATTTGGGGACTGAATTCCCAGCTTGACTGCATATGAAAATGAGCCCTTCTTGACCCCACCCAACCTCAAATAGTTTTTTCTTTAGCTCTAGAGCATAACTGGAAAAGGGATTCCTAAGGCAGAGTCTCCCAGAATCTGGTTCCTGACTTTCTCACTTAAAGCCTAGTAGTAGGGAAGGAAAATCTAGGCTTCTTCCCTTTCCACCGGCCCGGGAGCCAAACCCCTCCATCCTTCAAGTGCAGACACTTGACCCTGAAGTCTTGGATTCTTAACACAACGTGAAAGCACCCCATAGGATGGAATGAACCGAGTTCTACAAAGGAAGGAATGTTCTCAGACTAAAAATTCTGGAAAGGACCTGGGGACATGCTGCCAGAAGTTTCCCCTCTTGGACTGACTTTCTTGTGTAGATTAACTGCTCCTTATAAATTCTAAATCATGTCTCCCACTCCCAATGGAGTAGGGGAGGGGAAAGGCAGTTGGTCTTCAATATGTGTTCTTCTGCTATCTAATTAAGAAGAGAACGTGAGACAGAAAGCCAGAGAGCTGAAAATAGCACCTAGAAAGGGCAGGAGGCTGTCTGACAATAAACGCAAGTGCTGAATTTCTACACCCCCTCGGGGATCATGAGCAGCAGAGACCTTGTGAGAGGCAGAGAAGAGCCCAAAAGGAGGCAGTCTTTTCAGATTTGTGAAAACTGCCCAAGGAGCAAGGAAAGAGCTTAATAAGCCCAGCATTAGGCCATGGCCTGGGAGGGGGTCTCTCTGCGATCTGCCTCTCAGAAAAGACTGAGGAGGGAATTTGCTAGCGGTCCAGTGATTAGCACTCCGTGCTTTCACTGCTGGGGCTGGGTTCAATCCCTGGTCAGGGAAGTAAGATCCCACAAGCCACGCAACATGGCCAAAAAAAAAAAAGACTGAGGAAAAGAAGTGAAAATGTTGGCAGTTCCCAAGCCAGGAAAAACACCTCAAGAGGTAAATTAAATAGTGGGCTACAAATCTCTTCTCAGAAACCCCATCTGGGTAGTAATCATTTTGATTGTTTTTTAGGAGCGAGAGTTATAGTGAGAGGTAGATAAGCTGCCATCTGTCAGAAGTGATTTTTTTAGGCAGGAGCAGAGGTTAATCAGAGGTGATAGTTCCTGTTGGCCAAGACCTGTCTCTTCCCACCCCTCCACCCCCCAGAGAAGCTAGTGTTGGAACCTCTAAGTTGCACCATCCAATGTGGTCACCACGAGCCACCTGTGGCTATTAAGCACTTGAAATTTGCTGAAAGTGTCAGATGAGCTGTAAGTGTAAATCACTCACTGGATTTTGAAGACTTGGTATTTTAAAATGTAAATATCTCTAATAATCCTTACATTGATTACATGTTGAATATTTTGGATATATCATATAAACTCGTTGAATAATACATTGAATATACTGGTTAAATAAAATATATTATCAAAAGTCATTTCACTTTTTCTTTTCACTTTTTTAATGTGGCTACTAGAAATTTTTAAATTATATATACAGCTTGCATTACAGTAAATGGTGCTGGTCTGGACTGTCAAATCTACACACACATATACACACACACACACACACACACACACACACAGAGGCATATACATGCACAATTCCCTCCATCCCCCACCCCCATGCATAAAATAATTAATGTCTTCCTTCTGCTAGGCTATGATCTTCTTGTGCTTTGAGAATCAGTCAAGCCTTTCTTGACTGACCACATCCCATGGCCCAAACCCCCAATACACATATGTGTAAATGAGAGAGGCTACTTTTCTTTTTTTAACAGCACCTCAGTTCTCACTATTGTAAATTGTGTTGGGCTTTCTTACCTCTCCACTTGAGGTAGAAGCCACTTGAGGGAAGGAAGATTACATAATCAATTCTTTGTACACTCTCACAGATTCTGCTACAGAAGTCTTCACTCTGTTTTCAATTAGTGAGGCCAGCAAGTATTTGATGACTAGCCATTCTGCCCACACATACCATCACTACATTTTGACCTTTCTGAAAAGTACCCCAATTATTTAGCATGTCTCATTTCCTAAGAATCAGGAGTGAGCTCTCTCTTTATAAAGTCAATAATCTTTTAATGTAGGGCATCTTAACATTGAGTGCAGAGAATAAGAAAGAGGGTGAGCTTGGGGATGGTGGGCAGAGAAAGTACCTTGGAGGAACCTACTTGGAAGCCTCATCTCCTCCTGGAGAGCAATTCCCTGGTAGCGCCTCTGGATCATTTTCCCCCCAGTCTTCACCCCACAGGGCTTCCCTCCCCGACAGCCTGAAGGACAACAGAGATGTGTCCACAGTCACCCAGCAAGGAGGGCCTGAAGAGAGCTCCCACCCCTTCTCTCCTAAACCCCGCCTCTCCTCTCAGACAGAAGCCTTCCATCTGGGGACCACAAACTAAGCGAAGGATTGGAGGCATTTTGCTGCCTGCAGCTGTCTCCTCAATTGCTGACTGGGAGGAGGAGTGAGGGGAGTTCATTATAATTCATTTTTGTGAATGTTTAATATTTCAATTAATATGATTAGCCCCAAGCCTGAATGAGCAGCAGGGCGGCAGATCTGCTGACAAGACACAGAGTAATGAGATCAACAGGGCCATGGGGTCTTCCTAGGCTCCATCCTCAGAGGGCGTGATCTGTTTAGCATCTCCATAAATACCAAGATCAGATTAGGAGGCAAGGGAAGGAGCAGTGGGGGTGGGGAGACGGGTGGAAAGTTACTTTCCAGATGTATTTGCACTCAACTCCCTGGCACTGCCATCGCATATTCTGACCACCCTGCACTGGGTCCTCTTCCATTTCCCCCTACCCACCCATTTTAGAAGACCCTATTGGGAGCACCTGGACATCCGTACCATGAAGTGTAATCATGTCTACACATACACACACACTCACACTCACACTCAAACATACATACCTGCCAGAATGTGGCTTCAGGCCACAGAAATGATGCTAGGGAAGGATGGATGGTGGTGAATGGAGAATCAAGCAGTAGAAGGAAGGATAGCTCTCACCCAGGGCTCAAATGAAGACACAAGAGGAAGAAAGGCCAGGCTCAACCACTCCCCCCATTCCCAAGAGGAGATTTGACAGGGAAGTTAAACGCATGGACTTGGAACCACACTGTCCAGGCTCCACTCTCAGCTATACCTCTTTCCAGTGTGTGACCTTAGACAAGTCATTTAATCTCTCTGTGCCTTGGTTTCCTCATCTTTACTCGAAGATAACAATAGAACCTACATCATAGGGTGGTGCTGAGGGTTAAACAAGTTAGTAAATATAAAGCATTTAAACAATGCCTATGACACGGGACCAACACCGTAAGAGCCATCTAAGTGATAGTACTATTAATTCCCTTCCAGAAGAAAAGCCTGCCTGTCCAGAGAGCTGAGGCAGGGCTGCTGGGATTCAGGTGGGACAGATTTCAGAGACACCAGCACCACTGTGGAGACATCAGCCCCATTCTGGGGTGAAGAAAGGGTGACAGGAGGCAAGGAGTTCCACAAAAGCTGTGAGCCCAGGTCGGTGAGCACCTGATGGCAGGCAAGGGCTGCCCCGTCCAAGAGGTTTGATGCCAGCAGATACTCCCTGCATTGAGGGGGAGCTGTGAGTGAGCCCAGTGTACAATGGGGTCAAGCTCCCTCGACATCACAGGGCAAACTGATCATCTACAGAAGTTTAACTGTTTAGGGGAGTAATGGCCCCCAAATATGCTTCCGCCATCCCTCTTTGTTACCTGACTCAATTAGAGAGTCCCAGTCAGGGAACATAACTGGGGTGGGGGCGAGGGGAGAAGCAGAAGGAAGGAATTTTGGGGTTTCCTCTGCCCTAAAGGGGAACTTGCCAGCTGTGATTCTGCCCATTGAAGGAATCAGGAATCTACTCTCATCAGAGGTCCTTGGCATTGACTATTTATTCGAGAAATATTTGTTAAGCTCCTACTATGTGTGAACAAGACACTGTGCTGGACACTGAACAGTAAAAGCTGAATTAAACAGTGTCCTGGTCTTCAAACAGCTTCCAAGTGCGAGCTCCCTCTGTCACCACTGCTGCCTCCCTCTGCCCACGCACTTATACACACAAACGACCCAGAGGGCGAGAAGGGGGTGTTGGCAAATGCCAGCAAGATCGAGTTTTTCTTGGTTCCCTTTCTGGAAAACACAGTTCCCTCTCTGCACCCATCTCACCCTGCTCTCTCTTCCACAGCCCCCTTTCCATCCTTCTCTCTGGGTCCCTTCTGCCCTTTCCCCCAGGCTCTGCGACCTGCTTCCCTCCCCAGCTACACCCTTCTCCCCACCCGCCCCTAATCTGCCCAGCCATCTCTATGCCATCTTCTTTTCCCTGTTTTCTTCCCTTGGCTCCCCACTCTCAGTCTCCCCAGATGCCAGCTCCTCTCTCTTCCTCCCCCCTGCTCCCCTCTCCTGGGTCTTCTCTTCCAGCACCGGGGACAGCTCCAGCCCCCGGAACAATGGACCCCACCTTAGGGCTCCTCTATAAATTCTCCATCTTAGTGCCTTGCCCAACTCGTGATTAGGGAGTAAGATGGGGGAAGGGTTATTATCAACAGGACCAGCTGCTCTTCTGGGGGTGGGAAGGGAGTCAGGGAGGAAGGAGATAGGAAGAGGGCGTGGCTCTTGTCTGGATTGTGCGTCCCTCTCCAGGGTAGAGAATTTGTCTTCCACCCCTGAGACTGACATCACTGATGTCAGGGGAAAGGAGGTGGGAGTGGGGAGGGGGGTGTGGAAGGGGGAGGTTTTTGTTGAGGAGAGCGCGGCCGGAGAGCAGAGCTCCGGGACCCAGGTGACCGGGAAAGCAGGCAG